CTAAATATTATTGGGGCGAGGCAACATTGACCGCTGCATACCTCATAAATCGGATGCCCTCTCGTATTTTGGGTTTCCGTAGTCCAATTGATGTCCTCATTCGCTCCTTTCCAAATACTTGTACACTCTCTTCAGTTGTCCCTACCAAACTATTTGGGTGTTCCGTCTTTGTTCATATTCACAAACACCACCGCAGTAAATTAGACCTCAAATCTGTCAAATGCATATTCATAGGATATTCGACCAACAAGAAAAGCTACAAGTGTTATTTTCCTTCAACTAAAAAGGTCTATAATTCTATGGATGTCACCTTTTTTTAGCATCAATTATACTACCAAGGGTCTGTCATTCAGGAGGAGAGTAGTCGTAGTGAACAACAGCCCTGTGTTCCTTTACCAACTGACACGGGTCCCTCACCGACTGTCAAACCTCCTCCACCTCCTATTCAACTTCCTCAGTCTACACAACCCACACCTTCTCCTATTCAATCTCCTCAGTCTACACAACCCACTCCTCAAGAACTTCAGGTCTATACAAGACGAAACAGAACTGCTGAAAGAATAGAGAACCTAGCACCGCTTCCAGCTGTTGTCCAAGAATCTAATCCGGCTCCAAAATCCTCTGAAACTCACTCAGGTACGGAATCTATAGACACTAGTGATTATGAGCTTACCCCGCCTGTGAAAAATGATTCTGATTTTCCTTGCACTCAACATCCTATTGCCCGATTTGTTTCATATGAGACGTTATCTCCTCCCTATCATGCATTTGTAACTGCTATTGACAGCATAAAAGTTCTGAATTCTATTCAGGAAGCTCTCTCACACCCGGAATGGAGAAAAGCTGTGAATAAAGAAGTTGTTGCACTAGAAAAGAGTGGAACGTGGATTGTGTCTGATTTGCCCAAGGATACGAGACCAGTAGGATGCAGGTGGTTATTTACTATCAAATGTAAGGCAGACGGAAGCATAGATCGCTTAAAAGCCCGACTGGTTGAAAAGGTTATACTCAGTCATACGGAATTGACTACCAAGAGACATTTGCCCCAGTAGCCAAACTGAACTCCATTAGAATCCTACTCTCCATTGCAGCAAACCGAGACTGGCCCCTCATGCAACTTGATGTCAAAAATGCATTCCTTAATGGAGATCTTGAAGAGGATGTATACATGGATTTACCGCCTGGTCTTGCCGTGCGTGGTTTGCACGATTCACCAATTCAATAATCAAGTGCAGTTATACTCAAAGCCAGGCTGATCATACAATGTTCACAAAAAGATCCGAGAAGAAGATTGCTGTACTTATTGTGTATGTTGATGACATCATTCTTACCGGTGATCACACTGAATAATTGACAAAACTGAAGAAGTTTCTAGCCCATGAATTCAAAATTAAGGACCTCGGAGACTTGAAGTTCTTATTGGGAATGGAAGTTGCAAGATCCAAAATGGGGATAGTTGTAACTCAAAGGAAGTACACATTGGACCTATTGAAAGAAACTGGTATGCATGGATGCAAACCAAACCAATAGATACTCCAATAAACCCGTATAAAAAGATTGGAATGGAGAATGATAGTTTACCTGTCGACAAATGACAATATCAGCGGCTTGTTGAAAAACTTATGTTGGAAGACTTATTTACTTATCCCACACCAGACCAGACATAAGTTTTTCAGTAAGTATAGTAAGTCAATTCATGAACTTTCCTACTGAAAAACATATGAGAGTTGTCAACCGTATCTTAAGATACTTAAAGATGACACCTGAGAAAGGATTATTATTCAAAATGAATAATAGTCAAAAGGTAGAAGTCTTTACTGATGCTGACTGGGCAGAAGATATATCCACCCGAAGATCAACCTCTG